TTCTGAATGTCTGTTTGAATAACATATTTTTGTTTGTTGTTCATTCATTACGGTCACGTCTGACTCTTTGTGACCCCATTTGGGGTTTTCTTGGCAAAGATAATGGAGTGGTTTGCCATTTCCTTCTCCAGCTAATTTTACAGGAGAGGAAACTAAGGCAAACAGGGTTAAGTGACATGCCCAGGGTCACATAGGTAGTAAATGTCTGAGACTAGAGTTTGAACTCATAAAGGTGAGTCTTCCTGCCTGTAGATCTGGCATTCTATGCACTTCATCACCTGGCTTTTTACAGGATGGCAATTTGAAACATCCTTCAAAAAATCCCTATTTGTAATTCTCTGTAATAGTTTAACACAAAATAATTGATGTTGGGCATTCCTACATTTACTTCTACAGAGCAATACTTCTGTGGATAACCTACTAATCATATGTAATGAAAAGGCCCACAAGTAGTCTACAATAGTCTTAAAATATAACTCTCTACTGGAGGGGTGTGTGTGTGTGTGTGTGTGTGTGTGTGTGTGTGTGTGTGTGTGTGTGTGTGTGTGTGTGTATTGGGTGAGAAAGGAGAAATCCTATAATGTTATAAATAAAAAAGCTTATTTCTACATTTCAAAATGTGAAGGAGTTGAGTTTTGATATAGCCTTCCGCTTTCAACAGAGGGATTGATGGAAAGTGGAAGATGGATGCTGAAAGATATTAACTTGAGAAAAATAGAAAAACTAAAAAGGTGATGATAGTAGAGTTGACTGAATGCAATGTCCTGGACTGTCATGGAAAGTGCACTGAAACATTAATTTAACTTTTTATCAAGATGTTAGCCCCAACTTTTATTTTCTGAAATAACTGACCTATCAAAAGGAAATTTATTTTCACCTTTGTCTTTTGTATCTGTTATTTGTAGCTGAAGCTGTTATAGATGGGAGATGGAAGGAACCACAATAATACTTGTCTTATCTTTAAAAGAATATTCTTTATTGGTTTTATTTGGAAACTCCTGCTACCTTTTGGTTACTCAGAAGCTGATTCTCCAAGCCCTGACTTATCATGCCCCCCCCATTTCCTCTCTACCTTTGGAGCAGTTTTCTGTTAATTAACACTTCTAGGAAGCTAGTGAGAGGAAACAGAGGGGAAGGCAGGTGAAAATGAAATCAGTCCACTTTGCTGCTTGTTTTCACTTCAGAGTAAGGGCTTCATGGGGGGGGTGGGGAAGATTGAAACTATTGGTTGAAATTAATTTCTGGATGATCTTGATATTGTTTCTCTGTTCTTTTCCTTACCTTTAAGGCTAGAGCATTTATTGGTTATCACATACTTGAAGAGTGCCCTGACCCCTTGTGTCTCATGTTATTTAAATTGTGTTGTACTTGACACCATTAAGAAGCATATAGTGTCATAGATCCCTGACTGTTTCATCTACTTTGTGATCCTTGATTCTTCCTTAATCTAGAGCTTCCCAGAATTCTCTGAAATCATTCTGCTTCTGCCTTTGGTTCTGAGCCTTCCCTTTGACCTGTCTCCCATCCCTGGTTCCATGTTAATCAATATCAAGCTACCATTACCTTAGGAATAGTCACCTTAACCTGTTTATTTTTTTGGCTAGACAATGGGTTAAGTGACTTGCCGAGAGTCACACAGCTGGTCAGTTTCTAAGGCTAGATTTTAATTTGGGTCCTCCTGACCCCAGACCCAGTACTCTATCCATTGAGCGAACTAGCTAGTGGAAAGAACACTGCACATGGATTTAGGAACTCTGACTTTTAATGCTGTTTCTAGAACTTATTAACTATGTAACCATGGGCAAGTCACTTAACTTTCCAATCTCAATTTCCTCATCTCTAAAATGAAAATAATAATACTTCTAGTATTTGCCCCCAGAATTTTATGAAGAAAAATTATATGCTATATTATAATTATATAACTGACTGGCAAGGTTTAGGATAAAGAGTATTGATGATAGCTGGAAGATCTGGGTTCAAATTCCTTTTATGGTACTGTATCCCAGTTGAATTGTCATAGGAAGATTCTGAAGATCACCTGGCAGGATTTGTTACCAGACACCGAGGTCCTTTTTTCAAACTAAAATGCCAAACATCCAAACTCTTATCATAGAGAGTGCAACTGCGATGGGCTGACCGCATTGTTCGAATACCAAATGTACACTTGCCTAAAAGACTATTTTATGGAGAACTAACACAGGGCAAGTGCTGGCATGGGGGGCAGAAGAAGCAATACAAGAACACTCTCGAGGTTTCCCTTGAGAACTTTGGAATTGATTGTGTGACATGGAAACACAGGCATAGGACTGACCGTCCAGCATGGCATGCCCTCATCAGAGAAGGTGCTAAACTCTCTGAGCAAAGCAGAATTGAAGTAGCTCAAAAGAAACATAAAATGCACAAATTTAGAGAATTCACGACAAATGTTCACACGGATTTTTTGTGCCTGACCTGTGATAGAACATTCCAAGCTTATATTGGTCTGATCAGTCACAGTCAGACACATTGTAACATGATTCTAACATAATGATGTCATTTTGGTCCTCTCCCAGGACAAAGGACAACAGCCATAACCATCTATATGATCTTGGGCAAGTCATATGACCTCCATAGATTTTAATTTTATCCAAAGTAAAATGAGAGGGTTGGACTAGATAATCCCTAAGATTCCTTCTAGCCCCAAATTCTTTGGTCCTGTGATGTATGTTTGTCATCTCCATCATTATAGTTATCGTCCTCTGAATTATACATTAATTTGCTGATAATAGTGGTGATGATAGAGCTGGAGCCTCAGCTGTGACTTCATGTGTATAGGAAACCGCCAGGTGAAGAAATTCCCTTTAAAAATGCAAGTGAGCAGCTTTGCTGCCCCTTGTAGACTTGGAGAACAGGGAAAGGGGAGGTGATTGCTCTGGGTCACTAAGCCTCTGTGTGTCAGAGCTGTACTTTAAATGACATCTTCCTCACTCTATAGGGGGTGGGGAACCTATAGCCTTGACTCCACATGTGGCCCTCTAGGTCCTCAAGTATGGCCCTTTGACTAAATCCAAACTTCACAGAACAAATCCATTAATAAAGGGATGTTTTGCTTATAGCTGCAGAACTTGTTAGCATAAGAATATGGATTGGTCATAGGACAAAGGGTTAGGAATGTGCGCACTTTATGAGCTCACAATGTCAAAGAAAAGTGAGGACAGCCTCCAGACATATTGGGTGGGCTTAGAGAGAATATAGTTGAATCACACAGGATGGGCAAGTATAGATGGATTGTCATCAACATCATTACAGGAAATGTCCAAACTAATGAGAGTGCAGATCTCTTTGAGTGTCACTTGTGCTCTTCTTTTGTACAGAAAAATTAATGAGGGCAGCTGGGTGGCACAGTGAATAGAGCACTGGCCCTGGAGTCAGGGGACCTGAGTTCAAATCTGGCTTCAGACATTTGACAGTTACTAGCTTTGAGACCCTGAGCAAGTCACTTAAACTTGATTACCTTACAAAAAAATAATCAAAATTAAATAAAATAATGGAAATACCTTCCCCTCACATGTTCCCATCATGCATCTCTTCATTGCCCTTTGAGTCACCCATAATTCTGATTTCTTAATGTAACTATTTCTAGTTAAAAGCATAAATTTCATGGTAGCACAATGAATGATGGCAGCACAAAGGCACATATTTGTCAGCTGGTGGTATTATCAGATTTCAAAATATTTCACATTTAGACAGTGTCCCAAATTAGGTTACTACACTGATTTCTCTATTCTTCTGATAGTAACAAATGGTTTGTTTTTTATGGAATAACTAATGCTTAAAATACTGCATTAATAATCAAGTTAGTTCATCTTAATTGTTACACCTAATATACCCCATCCTATTTCAACTTATTTCCACAATGTTTGTGATTATATTACTATGATTTAAATTTTCACTGAAGAGCAGATGATACAGAAAGTAGCATTATGACCGCAAAAACTTAACAGCATTCATTTAGATAGCAAATGAGTTTGTATGTTCAATATAAATCTTGAAAATATAGGCTTCGTCCTCAGTATTATTCTTGCTAACATTGTACCAGTTTAGAGATGAAGAACTGATTGCTTCCTTCAACTTCATCAGAATCTAGATTTAGAATTAGATGGAACATTCAAGGTCATATAATCTAGTGCACTTATTTTACAGATGTGAAAACTGAAGGTCAGATGTTAGAGGATTTCCCCCACACTTATGTTTGTTGGTTCTGTTTTTATTTTTAAGTAGAAACACTAGTATTGGAACTCAGGTCTTTCAATTCTAAATCTAGTGGTCTTTTCCCTGCACCATGCTGCTACCCAGTGCCAAAAATTTAAATCCATGAAAAGTGACCTGAAATTTTAAAAGATTCTTCAGGTATTTCTCATTTAGAGAAGCATTTGAAAGTAAGTCTAGAAGGGACAATCCTAATGCCATCCAAACAATGGGTATTACATTAGCAGTTAAAGATACAGTTTTAGCCCAAGTGTTTATTATTATCTCTTCAAAAAAATGATTTCTATCAAATTTCTGTAAGGTTTGATTATGTTAGCCTTATATGCTCTAAGAGCAGGTGTGATAATTTGTCTTTGCTTATGCATTCACCGTCCTTATCCATTTTGTTCAATGAAGAAAGGGGAAAAAAAAAAGTCAGGGGGAAAAACAGATCCTGGAAGTAATCATGGATGCTGTAGTGTTTAAGAACGTTATCTTTTTTTATTTAGAAAAATATGTATATTAATTGACTTGGATCTTGAGTTTTTCATAGGAAGTATATATGTAAGCCCTAGGAATAAAATGAATTAACAGTATTGTCTGCTAGGAAGACCTTTAAAGGTATAATAGGAATGAACTGAACGTTAAATTTCTGGGTATACATTAGTGTTTTCCAGATTTTATCAATTTTTTTGAGCCAATCCTTTTGTTATTTGCAACTTTATACTCTGTTTCCCTCACTCCTTCAAAGATTACCTGATTCTGTTTCACAGATCGTTGCCTTGCGGGAACAAAATGCTCACATTCAAAGGAAAATGGCATCTGGAGAAGGGTCCACAGAGTCAGAACACATGGAGGGGATGGAGCCTGGCCAGAAAATCCATGAAAAGGTTAGGTGTTCCTTACTTGTTCTTACATTGGATGCATTTCCTGCCATAGCATTTGCTATAAACATTAGCTATGAAAAGTGCTCATTGCATACTTCATGGCTTCTTCTAACCAAAACCTCATGATACTTCTTTCTTTTCTTCTGTACTTAAATATAAAGATATCATGCAAATGAATTTAATTTTATTTGCATACATTAAGGGAAAACTTTAGTCATTTATTTACTTTCATGAAACTAAGAAAGAATAGCAGTTGAACTTGAAATTGGAAGGAAAAAATAAGCAAGAATATTTTTCATTAAAAAAGTGTTTGCCCATCAATTGGGGAATGGCTGAACAAGTTGTGGCATATGAATGTAATGGAATACTTTTGTGCTATAAGAAATGATAGGTAGGCAGAATTCAGAAAAACCTGGAGAGTGTTTATTATGTATCTACCATGTATTGAAGGCAGCACGGCATAGTGAAAACTAAAAATAAATTAACTAATTTTTAAAGAAGAGAAAGAAAAGGAAAAATCAAACATGATAAAGAGCATTTATTTGGATAACAATGAACATAATGAGAAATAGAAGGGAAATGGTTGTGGGAATACACTGCATTGCACCTGGACAGAAAGAAGACAGAGATGATGATTTGGGAACCAAAACAAACTTGATTAAATTCTGGACCTGATTCTAAGCATCAGCCAAGAATTGATAACTTAAGAAGAAATCATCAGAACCTAGGTGCACATGACCACTTCCATTTTAGAATGTGTTGACAAAGGAGAGAAAAAACTTTGTGTACTGTCATGTGCTCTAAGTTGGCAAAAAGAAATTTCAAAAAATGTCAGAGAAAAGAAAGTACGATGTAGTTTCTTTTGTATGTATTATAATAGTTTATGGCTAACTTGGCCAAAGATGAATGAGAAGCACCCAAGAATAAAGTTCTGAAGATGGAAACAGAAATAGTTTCAGTGAGGATATAAAAAGGGGGGGGCATTTTCAGAAGAGATTAATATGGATACACAAGGATCTCATCAATCAATTTAAATTTTGAAAAGATGAGTATAAAAGACAATAGCTGGGACATTAGAAGATGAATTCAAAATAACAGAGCAGTACTGAAAGAATAGAATCAAGATATAAAATATAGAATGAACTGAGGTTGATAATAAATTTCAGGGGCATTGAAAAAAAGGCCTTTTTAGTTTTATTAGGGGAAGCTAAAAATATCAATTAAGTTAAGAATACTAAATCAGCTGGATAGAATGATATTAATAGAGCATAGAGAGAAAAACAGAATTACTTAACTTTTTATTTTATACCCATTATCTCTGTTAAAAAGGAGGAATTTTTGTTTTTATTTTAATTTTTTAAATTAAAAAGCATTTATTTTCTCTGCCTTCCACCATCTACAAACTGAGAAATTGAAACAATACCCTTGTCACAAATATGCATAGTCAAACAAACCAAAGTCTCACAATGGGCTTGTCCAAATTTTACGACTCATTCTACATCTCAAGTTCATCCTTTCTGGCAGGAGGTAAGTAGCATTCTCAACATATGCCCTAAGGAATCATTATTTGTCTTTGAATTGATCAGACTTTTTAGGTCTTTCAAATTTATTTATGCAATGTTGTTATCATACAAAGCATTCTTCAGAAGAAAACACTCTGCATCAGTTCATGCAAGTCTTCCCAGGTTTCTTTGTTCTATAAAAATAAATGATGAAAGGGGATGATCTTTGGATTGGGAAGAATAGAACAAAAAAAGAAGATTAATGGGGGGTTGAAATCCAAGAAAAGTGTGGTGATGATCAGAGTGCTTCTATAACTGTTCTCAGTAAACTGAGGTATGAAGACCCAGAACATCTGTATCTTGAGATCCTTAAAGAATTGTTTTATGTGACTGGTGAAACACCATCAGTGATCTTTCAAATATTGTGGAAAATATAAGACGTATTTCTGGAAATAAAAGCTACTGCTTTTTAAAAAAAAAGTTTTAAATTAAAAATACTAAATAAAAAATTTAAATGATGGAGAGTTTCTCTAGAGTTGTAAATCCTCTGAAAAAGGCATTGATATAGTTAGACCTTAGAAATGTAGAAATGGAAGAAGGAATACCAGAGTAAAGTGAGAGTCAGTCTGTCAAGTAGCATTTATTAAGCATCTATTATGTGTCAGGCACAAAGAACAGCAGCATTAGAATACTAAAATCTTAGTCAAAGCAATTAGGATGGAAAACATAATGGGTCAAGACAATCTGGATGGGTGAGGGAGAAGATGATTAAAAAAAGTGCCATATTCAGGGAAGTATACAAGACAATTACAAAAATGTATTAGAAGTAGGACTAAGTACAGATCAATAGAATTTACACATTGCAGGAGCCTTGGGAAAGTGTCCATGCTGTTAGAATTAGTCCAGTGGGTCTGGAAAACCATTTGGAATTATGTGTAAAAAAATAAGTCACTAAGGTGTTTATGCTGATTGAGTCATCAACAATGGATTTATATCCCCAAAGAGGTTAGTAAAAGAAATATAGTTCCCATGTTTAGAAGACTAGCAGCAGAAGCAAAATTTGCAATAACGTAAAAAATGTTGTCCTTAAGTTGACAAATGGCTGCAAAAATTGTGATATATGAATGTAAGGGAATATTATAGTGGTGAATGATGAACATGAAAATTTCAGAGAAAAATGGGATGACTTCTAGGAATTGATGAAGCATGAAGAAAGCAGGATTAAAAGAACAATAAACACCTTGACTACAGTTGCCTAAGGGAAGGTCAGTGTTAAATGAAAATGGAATTTAGACAAAGTACCATGACCAAGTTTGGTTCCAGATGACTAATCACATTCCTTTTGTAAAACACACTCCCTTCCTCTTGCAAAGTGGTAAACTATGAGTAGAATGATTTCATGTACTATGAATCCCACCTATTCTATTGTGTGGTTTGTTTTAATGGTTTCTTTTGGGGAGGAAAGGAGAGGTACTCTGTGGGCCAGAGGAGAAATTGTCTATTGAATAATGGTTGTTGTCTCAAGAAAACAACCATCAGTTTAAAAGTGAAAGAAAATTATTAATAGTTGAAAAACATTGTTTTAATTGCAGTAAGTTTTATTTAATTGGAAGTAAGTTTACTTAATTTAATGGAACTAAGTTTTGTTCAATTGTGGACAGTTTTTAGCCTTCTCATTATTTTGCAGAAACAATTAAAAGTAGTAATAGCCATGACATATATCCATTTTGGCAGAAGGATTTTATGAGAATTTTGGCTTAGAATACTAATATTGTTTGTGAATTGAAAAGGCAGTTATTCATTTTACTTTCAGTAAATAAAATGTGATACTTTGATACAGGTAGTATGGGATACAAAGGGGGGGAAAGGATGTGGTTTATTTGAGCCTTTGGAGTTTTGTGAGACTGTTGAGGAAGTCACTGAGTTTCCATGGGCCCCAGGGTTGGGTAACTTCCTAGATTAATAATAATACTTACTAATGAGGTCTTCATTGGTGTTTCTGTGCTGTTGAGGACTGTAAGTGATGTCAGTGTTTGTTAACCTTCATATTCTAGAGCAAAGTTTTTGTCACCCTTCCCAAGTTATGGACATATTTGATTTTTGCTATCGATACTTCCATGGTCTCTGTAGCTAAAGATTGACACATATTTGTTTCACCTATCAAAATTCATTTAATTAAATTATGGAGTACTACACAATTTCACTGGAGATCATCAGAAATATTCTTTTAGGAATTTGGGATAGAAATACCCATCTTTTTCAAGTCTTCATTTCTTCTTTTCTCTAATTTCTTTCTATAGACTTTTCTTTAGTCTTAATAGAGGGTGAACATAGAAACAAATGTCCCAGAAAGTATACAATTTTAACTCCTCGAAATGATCCGTCAAGAAGAGACCATAGGAAATATTTTAATTTCTTTGATCCAACAACAGTCACTTTGCTCCACGGTTGTCTTTTAAAACCTAAGTGGGAATTCAGCATCAGGCATGAAGACAATGAATAGGACAGTCAAGGGAGGAGCAAGAAGATGTTTCTGAGTCTGTCTGCCCCCTCCCAATTCCTGCAAATAAAGGTTAGTGTGTAGGAGGGTGTTGGCATTTGTGAGCACATTGAAAAGTGACTCTTAGAAAAACTGTTGTTCGATATTATGGAATTGTTAAGAAAGTGAGTTTGAATGCCCTAATCACGAGCATTAGCCTTTGGTTAAGGCAGTGAAGTCACTTAAATTATACAGTGTGGCAGGATTATTTGCTAGTAGGGGATATTTTGTGTCAGTGGCTTGAGAACTCTGGTTATAAAAATAATCTCATGAGAACACACTTTGAAATAGTGAGTGATTTTCTCTATACAAAACAAAATATGATTAATACCAAAATGAGGGAGGAGGTAAATACCTCATAACATAAGAAGGAAATCTTTCAAATGTCTTAAATTATGTATGTGTGTATATATATATATATGTGTATATATGTGTATATATGCATATATACATATACATATATGTGTATGTGTGTGTGTGTACATATGCATATCTTAACCTGTCATCGTGAACTTATGGTTAAAATACTTTGGTAATTATATTTCAACAAAATTGGTCTTCTTTGAAATCCTATGTATTTTATTTTATGTACTTTAGAAATATTGTTTTATAATATGTAAATATATATAATTTCTGTTATATATAAACATAAATTTCTATTATATAAATATATAATTTCTGTTATATAAATTTATAATTTTATTATATATGATGTTTAATTTTCATTATATATGTAAATATTTGCATTTTAGAAATATCATTCTGAGAAGGGGTTCACCAGACAAATCAAACTTTCATCACTCATAAAGGGGTCTAGTAGCAAACATATATGTATGTGTGTGTCTATCTGTCTGTCTGTCTGTGTGTGTGTATGGTTTGGGGCCCCTGTTCTAGAAGAATGTGTAAAAGTTTGTGTACTTGAAAGAATTATTTTTACCACTGCAGAAATATGAATACATTTC